AGCGAAGCACACTTCATGACTTTCTCGTGGAGATCGTCCAGCCTCGCCAGTCACCAATCAGCTCATAAGAAAGGTCAGGATCCGAATCCACCGCAATTCAGCGAGAAGTATGAGGGAGATGGTTGAGGATTTGGTAGCTTCCAGTCGAACGTTGAGAAGTATAGTGCATAATAGGCTTCAAATGATGAAAAGCGGAGTGAAAAAATGCAGAAAACCTCTGAAGAGGACAGCAAACAGTGGCTATTGGGGATTTTCATCATCGATAAAAAACTTTCCACAACTGAGCAGGTATTCATCCGCCAAAACTCCCGTGTTCTCTTTATGACATCAAAGAAAGCTGATAGAGTAGGAAGAATAGTCACTGAGGAACTTCACATCCTGCATCGGAGAGGTGGGGCAGGTGTATCGGCAGATATGCGTACTCTATTGACTTTTGTAGGAATGGGTTGAAATCGATGCCATCCACTAAGTAGAGGTTATTCCGAAGTAGCTAGTCAACTTTGGTTGCTGGTCGCCCAAGAGTGATTGCATTTTCCAGCAAGACGGTGTACCGGCTCATAGATAGGCTCTAGTGCAAAAATGATGCCGCGGCTATTTTGCCGACCTCATAGCAGCAGAATACTGACCCACTAATTCCTCTGACTTTACCTAATGGACTTCACTATTTGGTCGATCTTGGAGCAGTGGACCTAAAATACAGTTCGACAGAGTGTCATCAGCAGTCGAAGCGTATGCGGCTCGGCTCGAGGAATTCATCAAATCCGAAGGAGGCCATATTGAGTCATACTTTAAACTGCGGATTGCTTACAATATGCATGTTTCTCTTGTTTATATCTAACTCCGACCAAAAATGTTGAAGATACACCGAAATTCTTTTGTCATGGTGTTTATACTCCACACTATATTTGGGATCAATCTGGGAAAGCCAGCTGGAGAGGGGGATTGCACTCTGTAGATAGACCACCTTCACCGCTTCGCCAGACCCTGAGTCGACTCATTCGTGACTGCCATACACAAGGAATAAAAAATAAAACTGTTTCCACGCTTCCGCCGTTAGACGGATATAATGCCAGAATTAATTGATGTTTTGAAAGTCAAATGATAGGGCAGAACCGTGAAATTTGTAAAAAATAATCTTCAAAGCTGCGCTTAGTGTGGAATCCTTGTCTTCGTTGAGATCTGAGGTCCGTCCTGTGTCAGATCCTCTGTGTGGTTGGCTTTAGTTGCTGGGCATCCTCGATGGTTGTGTAGTCTTGTGCGTGTTGGCTGTTGGTCCCATGCCTGGTTGGCTGGTCTTCGCGTAGGTGACTGGATGATCCTCTGTCTGGTTGGCTGCGCGGTCTTCTGTGAGGTTGACTGCCCCCACAGAAGACCACCCCAGCTCGTTCGCA